CGCGAACAACCAACCGGGCACGACAAAGGACAGCAGTCTTTTGGGTAAAAACCCACCTCGCTGTGAGGATTTGAACTTCATGTTCAACTGCGATGGTGCGACCCTTCTTCTCAGGATAGGTGTCACCAACTTCCAATGTCTCCAGTTGCACCATTTCTGCGCGAATGCCCTCGACCACCTGGTCATGCGCTATGGGGTGCCCTGTCAATTCATCACACACTCCCTCAGCGATCTGTACATCTATTTGGTTTCCCCCAAACTGAACAGAGATGGACGAACCTTGACCTTCTGCCTCGACGTCACCTCCTACCTCATCACACCTAGAGGCACCTGCCAAGAACTCATTCATTGCTTCGTTCTGGGCATGCTGGATGACTCGATCCAAGACAACATCAAGGTCCATAGGTTCTCCAGCCCCTTCTGGAGCTAAGCTTCCATCTGGCGAAGGAATTTCGACCTCCATGTCTCCATCCCCTTCTTCACCTGGAACCTCCCCGCCTTCACCACCTGCATCCTCAAGTGGCCTCTTCACTGACCTCTCCGGATCATGAACTGGTGGCGGAGGAAGAGCTTGTTCGCCACTTCTGGGATCAACATATGCACCCGCAAGCAGAGGAAACAAGACGTTCACGTCATACCATGGTGATTGGTCCCTAACTCTGAAAGTGTGACCCTTGATCACTTCCCTCACTCCAGTGGAGTCAACAGAAACCGGGTAAACCAAACAACCACCACCTGTGCTGTACCTGGCCCCCAAATAAGCACCAAGCACCATCCTCTGACCTTGCCACTTCTGTGCATGAACTGGCTTCACAAAACCCATGATCCCAAAAGGAAAAGTTCGTGGTATCTGACCTCCTCTCTTCTCTCTCAGAGATTCCAAAGGAGTGCCACCCCACTTGCGCTCACAAAAACCATTGAAAGTCCTGTAGGTGTACCCAACCAGATACCCCATCAAAGGTGATTCCAAAGCCAACCTCATGCCTAAATGAGCTTCCCGAGCCAACCAAGTGGCGAACAAACCTTCTTTCATGATCCCCACAGCACGTTCTACACCCTTGGCCTGTGGACGATTCTCTGAAATGTTCCTCCAATGGAAGCCTCGACAGTTGGACTCTCTCAGAGACCTCTGCATCAGGTTCAGCAGGTAGGCTTCGTTGTCAGTGGCCACTTCCAAAGACAAACCTCCAACACCGATCTCGTTCAAAACAGAGACAGTGGACTTCACGTCCTTCTCCCGGTCACCACCTAAAACCACCATACCAATCATGCCAGTCTGAATCATGAGCAAAACTAACACCTTCCAGTGCCTTCCACCTACAAACATGATATCAGCTCAAAGATCACATGTGCTAGATTCTTGGTCCTTTCGTCTCCTTGCGGGCGTCCGACCTCTTGCCTGAACACACGCATCACACCCTCGATCATACGGCCAATGTCCTCGACACTCGTGCTCGTACAACAAACTGCCTTCCAGTTCGGGCGATGGATCTTCCAGATCCGACGAATGTGGACCCTCAGGATCATAATGGGGCAACTCCCCCGGTGGTTCGTCAACCTCGGAACCTGCCTCAACCATCAGACCTTCGGCCTCCGCCTCTGGACCAACCTGATCGGGAATGGAAGGAGTGTACTCCTCCATGTCATCACTCTCCAAATCAACGGTTTTCGGCAAAACACGGAACATCCGGACACGCTCGGACTCCTCCGAAACCCCCGGAAACCCCTCTTGGTTCCTCCAGAACGCAAGCAAGGAAGCAAAATCCGTCTCAGATCCCTCAAAAACATCCGAAAAAGCTTCCGACATCTTGGCTTTCACAGCTCACAAAAGACGAGTTCGACTCAACCTCCCAGGTGTCAAACTCAGAAGTGAAAGAGGCAAAATCCTCCTGATCATCCTCCTTCCCCTTCTCAAACGTATTGGGCTCATCTTCACAAGACAAAGTTGGAAAAGAAACACGCTCATCGCCACACTAGACGACAGGGTGGCCCGAAAGCAAGTAGGCGGAAGAGAACAAATAGAAGGGAAGAAAAGCGAAATAACAGAAGATGAATGAGCACTAAAGAAATGAAGAGATGATATATGATGATTTAAAACATTAAGATGAAACAAAATGAGATGATGATGAGATGACACAATATATAATATATATATACATTATGATTATGATACTATTATCACGTTATTACCAAATCTATTAATGTATATTCTGTTGCACTGTACTTCGGAGCCCAAACGGTAGTCCCGGTCGATTCTTTTTTATCCAGCGCCGGTCGAGCTCAAACGCTAGTCCCGGTAGTAAGAGCCGCCGAAGTGTGCGAAATCGCACGTCCCAACCTGGCATCAGGACAACCAATGCTCATACAAATGCAACACTTGAAAAACAAAACAAATTACCCACAGTTCAACTCATGTTGTTTTGTCGGTTATCAGATATAGTTGCACACCCAGTCGGAACAGGATCGACTTCGAACAACTCTCGGTCGTGGATCTCGTGCCTTGTGGAGTCTCTGCACGTTCAGCTGGAACAAGGGTCGACTTCGGACAACTTCCGGTCGTGGACCCAGGTCCTTCTAATCAGTTTGGTCGCGACACTTTGCAATAGCCAATTCACAGCTTTTCGCCGATACTTGTAACTTCGTGGCTGGTGACTATATGTGGCATCGACATGCCGGCCTCCTGGAATTCCATTGCGTGGTGTCCACTTTCATTTGGTCTCAAATAATTTCCTGTTTCAAACCGTCATCATTCAAAATACAAACCAGTCAAACAAAACTACGCGCCGCATTTTGAATGAGAACCGGTAGGATTCGAACAACTTTCGGTCTCGAACCGTTCTCATTCAAGTTTAAACTATGAAAACAAACCGTGTGAAATAAAAACACATGAAACTTCACGATGTCATTGTAAAGAAACTCCCGATCACATGACCAATCCACAAGTTACACTTCGAATGAGCAACGGTAGGATTCGAACAACTTTCGGTCTCGAACCGTTCTCATTCAAAGTTCGCACTAGCAAAGGAAAACGTCAGGAAGAAACACTAAACTACACGACCAAACTGTAAAAAAAAACATTCCACCTGCATCTTCCATTGGTTCCGCTTCCTGATTTTCTTCGGTATCATCATCCTCTTGTCCTTGTGCATCAGCCGGGCCCTGTTGAAGCAACTGTTTGGCTAAGTAGCTGTTGACACCGGTTTCCAAAATGCAACCCTGCAACGTAGACTCACCAGCGTCCCGAAGCGTGACTTCTTCGTAGTACGGCGAAGTGCTTTGGAGACATCGAACTGCAGATTCGTACTCGCCACGAGGGGCCTTCAACAATGCACTGCTTTGAAGGGCTGTTTTGTTCTGTCCCTCGCCGACCAAAACAAAGAGAATGGACTCCTGCGTGTCCTGTTCTGGCGGCGGAAGGACAGCTCGAATGGCTGTGGGCGCAGCCTGCGGCAAAAAGATGCTGTTGCCGATGAAGCCCTTCTGCCGTTCCTCTCGAACGAGGTTACCGGGCTGCAGAACAGTGACTTGCAGACAGGTGCGCACCATTGGTAACAAACGTTTGGTGGCCGCTGCCAAGTTTCTCAAAGCTGGAAGTTGTCGACCGATCCACAAATCATTGGCTAAGCTGTACCGAGGAAGGCTCACCATGCTTGATGTCAAGGGACCACAGCATTCTCGGCAAACGTCGCATGGGTCCCTGACATCAGCTGGCATTCGGCGTCGATGTAAAAGGAGCAGCTCCTCCTTCAAGAATGGATGCTCGACCGCCGATGCCTTCAGCTCTGCAATGGCCTCTGGACGGGCCTGTAGCTGTGGCCAACGCTCCAGGTAGCGCTGTACGCCCAGAACTCGACACAGTCGACGTTGTTGCGAAGGTGCAATCTTCTTCACTCGCTGATCTTCCTCTTTTCCGTCCACCGTCTCTGGAGCTCCAGCAGCTGGATCTTGGAACAAAATAACTGGACGCAACTCTTCGCTCCAGAATCTACGAGCACAAACCACACATGCCCGTTCCTCACGCAGTGCTCCATCCCGTCCTGGCTCTCGCAATGCTGCATCCGCATTGGCCATCAAGCTGCGTTGCACAGTCCAAGAGGGAACCTGAGACCGGATCGATTTACCGGACACGTTTTCGAATATGTCTGAAACTCAAAAACTTATCTCATCGAATACATTCATTGTCAAGTTCCTGAGTCTTTAAAAGAACCTTTTCCACAATGACAGATTAGTGCACAAACCCCGCTAAGTATAAAAACACTGATTTTTGAGTCCCTGATTTTTTTAACAAAGTCGGGGATTCAAAAAAAAACAACGTTTTCCCTAATGACCGGTTAGTGCACAGACTCCGCTAAGGAGAAAAACACTGATTTTTGAGTCCCTGATTTTTTTAAAAAAATCAGGGACTCAAAAAATAACATTTTCCATAATGACCGATTAGTGCACAGACTCCGCTAAGGAGAAAAACACTGATTTTTGAGTCCCTGATTTTAAAAAAAATCAGGGACTCAAAAAACAACATTTTCCATGATGACCAAATAGATCACAGAACATCGAATGCACAAGAATTGCCTAAGCAAGTAAAATGACACTAACAAACGCCAGGACACCGAAGGTCCTGCATGATGCAATAATCCAACCACTTTCTTGCGATATTCCACCCATGCTCTTGCAACCTCAGTGTCATTCGAATGAGCGTCCTTGATGTGCTCTTGCAAGACTTCCTTGTCTGCACATTGAAAGTCGCACAACCGACAAACATATCTGTTGAGCTCCATCTCCTCTGTGTCCTGTGGAGTTGAGAGTAATCGAGTGGACATAGCTTCCGCCACACCTGGTATGCTAGGAGTGCATTGCAACTTGGCAGCAAGAACGCTCAATTTGCGCTGAAGAGACAATCCATAAGATTGCAGCGTCGCAAAACATTGTTGAAGAAACACATCGCCGCATTGGAGGACTTCTTGCAATGTATGAAAAGTGCGACTTTTCTTTGCATCCTCTGTCTAGCCAGGTACAGAAAGCATAAGTTGCTCTTCAAACTCAGAACGCCACTGCACACCTGTCGATGAGTCACCTGCTCCAGTAAGACAGTCCAAGGACAACTGCTCTAAAGGTTCAAAATCAGGAGGATAAGCCTTCTTCATGCTTGAGATGCGATTCCTTCTGTCCTTCTCCTTGTAGCTGTCAATCTTCGAAGACAAAGGCCTGTCTTCAGATTCATTCGGCAGTCTACTCGTCCCCGTGTCCATTTGCCACTCCAGCAACTCTTGATGCAGGGACAACACATCGGCATGGACGCCATTCCTTCGCAAGGCTCAAGGGTTATGATGTAAAGCCTTTTACCCAATCGACAACCAACAACGATACTGACGTCCAAAAACTAAAGAATGTACGACCATACCAAACAATTTACCCCTCTACATTCAACGCCCCGACTCCTGGAAGCTCTAAGTGCAGCAATGCGATCAGGTTGATGGAGGCAACGCAGAGCCGTCAACTCGCCAGATGCACGTGGATGCAGAAGTCGCTGTATGACGAACCACAGTGTCTGCAGAAAATCTGCTTTGGTGAACACTTCCTGCCACAGACACGGCTTTTCCGGATGATCTATCAGTTCCAAGCCATACCTTCGCATGAGACCACGTAGAAAGGCCTTGTCGGCATCATCCAAAGCACCCTTGCGCTTCCGAGACTTGCCATCCGTCTCCACTGTGGCCCTACGGCCATGCAGAATTTGTAGAACGGCCTCGCAAACGGATCGTACTACACGAGACAAAACATTCGGTTGAAAGCATTGTACCAAAACACTCCGACGAAAAATGAAGAAAATAAACAGGTACCCTACCTATAAAGAGTCATGCTGTCATGCACCCTCGCCTCTAAAACGTCCTCTTGATCTTCGAAGCCTGTTGGTTCATTCCACTGCCGTTCCATCCGCACTGTCTGCAGATCCCAAAGACGTTCAGCAACATCAAACATATCGACGGAATCCGCAAAATCCAACAACTGTTTCCATCCTGCAACCCAACCAAAAACATTGATGAAAGCAAACGTTAGACAAAACAAACCTGTCAAGGACACAACAAATAACAACTCCATGTTCTCGTGCTAAGCAAAAACAACCTTCAACAGACTGAACCTTCAGCTGTTTGATCAAACTACCGCCGTCCTTGAGCTTTCACTGGGTTCTCGTGCAACACGCAAGCCAGCAAAGCGATGACGTGCTCGCGTTCAAGGTTGGGAAAGCGCTGCAATGCAGCATCAGCATCAAGTTTTTGCAAGTCAACATCCAGTGTGGCCCAAACGTCCGAAACGGAATTGAAGTGTGTCATAATGCAACCAAGACTACGAATCAATTCCAGCAATGTCTGCTGAGAGCTATAGTGACGTCCCACCAGAGTGTCCATCGGAATGCACAAACACCATGCAAGAAGTTTCAGCCGAAGATCTGCGTCGACTACCTCTGTGCTCAAGAAATCGGCATCGATTTGCTCGCCTGCTGCTTGTCTTCCAAGACAGGACCGAAGCAATCGCCAAGCATGCCGCTGCACCGCGGCGCTGCTGTCCAATGATTCTTCTGGCAGCAAGACGGCGATCATGCGCTCGATCAGCGCCTTCTTAGACAGACAGTCTTCCACACCGACTTCAGCACCCAGCGCCGCCAGCGGGCTTCGGCCGTCCACTGAATCCTTGGCTACCTTGGCCGAGAAAGTGTTCAATTTGCGACGAAGCCACGCCCGTGCATTGGGGCCTTGCTGTACCGCCTCCAGTTTCAGTTGCTCAGCGGTTACCTTATCGCTGACATGTCAGAACATCACACTCACCACCGTCCTGAAAACTAACAACAACAAAAGCAAAATTCCAACATACCAATCAGAACGAAAAGACAAACAAACGCTTCTTTCCTAAAGCTGTTGTCAAGGCTCAATGGATGGAGAAGTTGCTTTCGTCAGCAGTTCCACCAACTCAGCCTTTGATCTCCGAGAGTCCCCTGCCCGGCAAGAAACACCTGCAGGTACACATAGCGTCCGCAATTCATTCGCGTCCATTCCTTCCAACTCCTTCTGCAACCACTCCTGGCCTTTCACTTCCACATCATCGCACAGGGATTGCCAGATTTGGTGCGGTGCCTTCGGTGGAGCCTCTTCCTGGGTCGATCGAGTCTCTCAAATACGCAAGTACTTTGAACAGATACTAGTATTATTCGTAACTGTATGCAGGTGCGAGACCATGGTATATGTATATATATATATAGCTTTGTGCGAAATTGTGTTTGGATGAAGAGATCTCATCCAAATCCCAAACCTGAATGATCCCATTAGCGCTACATCGCTACATGCCATCGAGTCTCAGGATTCGCAGCCAAGGCTTTCAGCAGCTGACCCACCAGTTCCGCTTTCGATAACATCGTCTTGAAAACAGCAACTCTTGTAGGCAGTTTAGCTACCGAGCTGAGCTTTCGGAGTTCATCCGTGTCCTTCCCTTCCAGTTCGGCTTGCAACCACTCTTTGCCACGAATTGCAGCCTCTGCTCGCAAAGCGTCCAACGAAGTATGGAGATCCTCGATGCAGGTCCGAAATCAACGACGACAACCACCGATGACAACACGAAATTACAATGACAACCCACAACAATCCCCGGCGTTGAAACACCTCCTGGGTATCGAAATTGCAAGATACTGGTCTGCATGAAACCATTCGAACGTCCAAATGTCACAGTGCAACAGCATGCACAGCACTACCGTCGAAGACATACTTAGCAACCAAAGGCTTCGGACAACTCCCGGTCGCGATCGGTTGCTGAGGTCTGTCCTCAATGGTTATGCTGCGCAAGTCTTGGTAGCTGTAGACGATACTTGCAACGAAAGTATTATAATGCAAAACGATACATAGGGAACACATGTCACGTACAAACAATCACATCCTGTCATGTTGTTTCACAAACTGGCAGCCAGGGGTCCAAAGATGGAGATATTGCTTGTAGCAACTGATGCACCAGCTCTGCCTTGCTCAATTTACGCAGAGAGTCAGCAGCTCGATGAGACAGACCAAAGTGCGTACTGAGCTTCCGAAGTTCGTTAATGTCCTTTCCCTGCAGCTGTGACTGCAACCACTCCTGTCCCTTGACAGCAGCTTCGGCCTGCAGAACTTGGAGGAGCTGCTCAATGTCACTCACTGCAGGCTGCGATGGTTCCTGAGTATGGGGTCCACTCTAAAATGAGCAAAGCGATTCGAAAAGTTACAGAACCGGATGAGCACATGCACTCCCTAACCTCATATCATGTCATACTATTGATGAATGTGTACAAACAAAAGTGTATAGCAGTGAAAAGATACACTACTATAGGCCTCGGACAAACAAATTGAAACGACAACGCATAAAGAATACTTGTTACATACGAATCATCACATCGTGTCCTGTCATGTTGTCTCTAAAACTGACAGCCAGGGGTCCAAGGATGGAGACATTGCTGGTAACAACTGATCCACCAGCTCTGCCTTCGTCAACATGCTTGTAGAATTCGCACGTCGACGGAAAAGACCCAACGATGTACAAAGCTGACGAAGTTCGCTGGTGCTCTTTCCCTCGAGCTGTGACTGCAGCCATTCCCGTCCCTTGACAGCAGATTCCGTCTGCAGAACTTGGATGAGCTGCTCAATGTCACTCACTGCAGGTTGCGACGATTCCTGAGTATGGGGCTCCATCTAAAATGAGCAAAGCCAGTCGAAACGTTGCAGAACCGGATGAACACATGCATTCCCGAACCTCCTGTTATGTCATACTGTCGAAGAACCTGAAACGTACAACGTTCTCACAAAAAATATGCCCATCCAACATTTATATCTCATGTGTACTGACAACATTTACGTGTCGCGTGCACAGACAAAAGTGCATATCAATAAAAACAAATATTTCTATAGAATACTTGTCACATACGAATCATCACATTATGTCATGTCATCAAACTGGCAGCCACGGGTCCAAAGATGGAGACAATGCCGGCAACAATTGCTCCACCAACTCTGCCTTCGTCAACCTACTTGTAGAGTTCGCACGTCGGTGGGAAAGACCCAATTGCGTACAAAGCTTGCGCAATTCGTCTCTGTCCTTTCCCTCAAGTTGCGACTGCAACCATTCCCGTCCCTTGACAGCAGCTTCTGTCTGGAGAACTTGGACGAGCTGCTCAATGTCACCCGCTGAAGGTTGTGATGAATCCTGAGCATGGCGCTGGCCGTGATCCCATCAATGTGATTAACGATCCACTCTTTACATATACACGCGCACGTATTCCCGTGTATCCACCGGAAAAAAAATTGTAGCTTGACGACGTAGGCAAATCACAACATCTGCCACCAAGCTTCTGCAGGTGTCGACAACACCCTCACCAGCTCAAGCACTAAGTCACTCTTAGACAGTTTCACGTCAGAATCTCCAAGTCGAATTGACACACCAGCTGCTATGCACAGCTTGCGCAGCTCTTCAATGCTCTTTCCATTGAGCTGTGACTGTAACCTCTGCTGACCTCCAGTCTCGCATTCCATCCGCAGATTTTGCAAAGCCCGCTGCAGCGGAAGGCGACCACTGGAGGAAGAAGACGAAGCCATGGCTATAAAAAGCTACACAAGATTTCGAAGGTCCAACATGATTTCATACGGTTGAATTGGTTGCGCTGGCGGGATTCGAACAACTTCCGGTCTCGCGCCAACGCAACTGATCTATGTATAAAGTCGATGGTACCTACGTAAGATACGTTTGTTTCATGAGCTCCATTGATCGCACGGTTGAATTGGCTGTGCTGGCGAGATTCGCACAACTCGCGGTCTCGCGCCAACGCCACTGATCTATGTATAAAGATACGTTTGGTTCATGAACCCTACCGACCACACGGATCGGATTCTGCCGACCGTCGATCGAGAATAAGCGAGTCCACTTGCCTTCGAGCCATACGACACAAAGGTCAATGATGCTGATCATGTTAAAAGCTGTCACCGTCATGATGATGCCAACAAAGGAAAAATTCAAGCAGCTGTAACAACAAATCTGATGCTGATCATGCTAAAGCCGTCACCGTCATGCCGATGCAAACGACGGAAAAAATCCAATCAGCTACAATAACACATCGAGTCAGCTGGGTCTATTTCAAGCCAAGTATACAAATACAACACAACCTGAAACACATGTAACTCTCACGCCGTGAAAGAAAATATGACATGACATCAAATATGAAAATATGATGTGCCATGAGATGATGATCTCACGATACGCCCGTGATATGCTATTGTGATCATGAGCTAACGATGAGGTCGATGACGATTGCAATGACGTAGCTGCTGGTAATGATGATGATGATGATGATGGTGCTGACGACGATGATGATGATAATGATGATGATGATGATGTGGATGATAAGGATGATGATGATGATGATGATGATGACGCTGATGATGATGATGAAGGTGATGACGATGATGATGATGATAATGATGATGATGGTGCATGTCGCCAGGCACGGTTTACACCACACGTTGTTTACGCCAGACGAAGTAACCATGGAAAAGTTTACACCAGACAAAGCCGACAAAGGTTTACACCAGAGAAGAGTTTACACCAGACATCGATTACACCAGACACCGTCTATACACCAGACACGGTTTACACCAGACGTCGTTTACACCAGACAAGGCCAACAAAGGTTTACACCAGAAAGAGTTTACAGCAGAGACAGTTTACACCAGACAGCGTTTA